CTTACTCTACATGATCATCATTTTAATTTATCAAATAGTTTATATGTACATACTACATGTTAGAATTTATTATGAATTAGTTTCTTTACAATAGCTAATGTCATGTCTAGTGAATTCTTTTTGACTTATTTCTTGATTAAAGATATCCACACGAAGAATGTACATTACACTCTGTAAAATAATCAAGGTCTCGTATTCTTCACCATCCTCCGACCCGCCTATCGAGTTTCTCTATCCCATATTGTTGTTCATGTTTTGTCCGCCTCCTTGTTAGCTTGGCATACATGACTAGGTCATGTCTATCTTCGCATTATTCATCAAGTTCATCATAATAACAATAATAATTTTTTAATAAGGATTTATTTCCACTTTTTCATGTTTTTATTATTAATAAAAGTACCAAACTATTATTTGTTAAATCTCATTTTCAAACAAAGACACCTCTTGAATTAATCGTCTCGGATGTTTAGTGGCTTATTGTTTATTGCTCCTATTATTGATGCTAGATACTATGTTTTATTTTTTGACCATTTCAGTAAATACACTCGAATTTATTTTTTTAAATACAAGTTGAAGTTCTTAGCACCTTCATAGAGTTTCAACATGTGGTAGAAAAAAATTTGGATGCTCTATTAAATTGTTTCGGGCATATTGGGGTGGTAAATATCATGTACTTTCATATCATCTATCCGACAATGATATATCATAAAAAAGTTCATGTTTTCATATTTCGGAGCAAAATGGATATGCTAAATATAAACATCTTCATGTGGTTCAAACTAATTTGTCTTTATTGAATCATGCATAAATTCCTATACGAGTACTAGTCGTATGTCTTAGAAGCAATAGTTTATATTATCAAATGACTTCCCACACCAACTTTATCTCATAAAGTTCCATGCGAAATTTTATTTCAGTAGTCGATCGATTATACTTCTCTTAAAGTCCGTGGTTGTATCCGTCATTCCTAGTTAAGGCCCTATACTCGCACATAAGTTAGACTATCATTCTCGTTGATGTGTTTTTTGGGCTACAGCAAAACTCATAAGGGCTACTTCGTTTAGACTTTATTATTGATAAAATTTTTATCTCATGACATGTAAAAATTTTTTAACAAGACTTTCCCTTTGCTTGAGAAAAGTATCTACCAACAATCATTGCAACGTGGCCTTTTAGGAAACTTGTTTCCAAATTCCTATTTGCTATATTTTGGCACTAATATTAGATCTTCTCTTGCCATGGCCGATTCGAGCCTTTCTTTATTGACTACGGGGCCTTTTCCACTCATTTCCTCTTCCGGTGACAACTTTGTGCTAAATTTCACGAGCTACCCTTCCTCATCCCAACCTATGTTCCAACAATCACATACAACCACATCTTCCGTCATGTGTACTCGTCTCTCCTCCAAACCAACTCTATGAACTCTAGGTCTCATTTGCACTCTTGTGCCACCCCCATGCACTTTAGGCCTATTTCTTTTCCTCAATGTCCTCTAATCTCCACAAGTGCGAGCCCATACTACTTCTATGGAATCCCAACCTACCCATTCTCAAGTATAGGCCTATTCTACTACTCTAGTAATAGACTCTCCTATTGCCCATATTGTCGACACACTAAGTGTATCTAGGCTTTCGTTTTCTTTCCACCCGACCTATTCCATTATTGATGTGTCCTTAACCGGATAACATCATGGGCATTCTCTTTTAGGCTTATGGCCCGACATGACTTCAGCTCTTCCTAAAGTTAAATCACCAATTACGACTCCTTTGGTCTAGCCATCTAGTGGGCATTATCCTATGGTCACTCGATCCGGAATAGGTAATTTAAAACCAAAATAATTTATTAAAAAATCTTTACTAGCATCGGACCATGGTAAAGGAGATTAATGCATTGATTGATAATGATACTTGGGATTTGGTACTAGCCACTCTATCATAGAATCTAGTCGATTGTAAATAGGTATTTCACACCAAACAATAGGTCGATGGCAATATTGAACGGTACAAGGCTCAACTTATTGCTAAGGGTTTTCATTAGCGTCCAAACCTTAACTATACTCGAGACTTTTTACTCTAGTCGTCAAAACCAACAACTATTAAACTCATTTTATCACTTATAATTTCTAACCATTGGAAAGTTAAGCAACTAGATGTTTCTAATGTTTTCCTTCATGGCACTCTTGATGAACAAGTTTTTATAACTCAACCTTAAAGATTTATTGATCCAACCAAACCCATCATGTAAGTCGTTTGAAGAAAAATCTCTATAATTAGTAAACACCTTACTTCGGTTTCAATGTCTATCCAATGCCTTAGCTAATCTTGGTTTTGTTGGTTCTAAGGTTCATCTCTTTTTTTCTATCGGCAAGGTGATACTCATGCATATTGTTTAGTTTATGTTGATGACATTGTACTTACTGGAGCTCTTTATCCTTTTTGGCTTCTATTGTTAAAGCTTTCCAACATTACTCGTCCTCTCAAGGATCGGGCCGGTTACACTATTTTCTTGGTATTAAGGCAGCATGGACCCCTAAGAGTCTTTTTCTCACTCAATCAAAATATGTTGACGATATTCCGCTTCGCTCCAAAATGCATGCTAACAATTCTATTGCTACTCCTACTTGCCCCAAGTTTAGAGTTACTATGTCTATAGGTGATTCATTTTCGGATCATTTATTATACCACAACATTGTGGGGAACCTTGAATATCTAACTTTGACTCGCCCAAATGTTTTTTATGCAGTCAAAAAATTTGCTCAATTTATACACTCTCTACTACCGACCTTTAGCATGCAGGAAAACACATTTTGGGTTATTTGACAGACTACCGGGACTCATGATTTATTGATTTAGTCTTTTTTTACTATGCATATATTTGCCTATAATGATCCTAATTGGGCGTGCACTATTGATGATTACAAATCTACCACGAGCTATGAAATTTTTCTTGGCACCAATCTTATTTCTTAGAGTTCTCACAAATAACACATAATGTCCAAATCATCTACTAAGTCCGGATATAGGGCCTTATTTGTTGCTACTTCTAAGGTATTGTGGCTACAATCGTTGCTCTATAAGTTACATTTGTAGTTTCTACTCTTCCCACTCTCCGGTGTGACAACCTTCGTGCCACATATCTCACTTGTGATCCGAGTTTTTCACTCTCGATCCAAACATTTAGAGATTGGCTTCAATTTTGTTCGTGAACATGAGTACCGATGATTTAGTTGTTCGTTATATTTTAATAGAAGATCAAATTATTGATTGCTTGACAAAAGCTTTGTCTCACCTATAGTTTCAGTTCATGCGTGATAAGTTGATAGTTTAGTGTCATCCTACTCAACTTGATGGAGGATCATAGGATAACAAGCAATTGACTAGGACTCTAGTATTCTAATTTGTTACATCTGCATATACTAGATTGGATTGCATCGTTTAAATATTAAAGTTATACCTGTAGATATTAAATAGAATTGCAATTACTTTTCAAACATTCAAACTACAATGCTGTATGTGTCATATACAAAGAATAAAGTGTGGAATTCATTTTAGTTAAGACTTCTTCAATCAGGCTCATAACGACACCTTTTGTGAACCAAATTCAGTGGAGGTCGTGGCCAGTGGGCTAGTCTACATAAAGTCGACATTGCAAGCAAAAGTATCTTTGGACAAATGTAGTTAAAACCCATAATTAGCCCTATGTTACATATATAAGTAGAGCAAACATTAAATATATCACCCCCAAACGATTAGAGTATTATTAATTTTGCCTCCCAATTATTTGTTGTATTAATTTTATCATTAAATTTTTTTATTTCCCAATTAAAAACTTTTGTTAAAATAATTAAAAAAGCATGAAGTTCCTTACAAAATAATGTCATATATAATTTTTTATATATAAAGTAAAAGTACAATCTGAATGAAATTATGGCCGTAACGTAAAAATCTAAAAAAAATAATTAAATTCGTAATTAAAATTTTCTAGAAGTGAGGATAAAATCGATACTAAAAATTGTTTGGTGGTAAGATTATGTAACTAAACTGTATTTTTAAAACATGTCCAAAGAAGTGATAGTAATAGCCACAACAAGAACCACAACCACCATAATTAACTTCTGAATTTAAAACAAAGAAAATACTTAGAACATATGAATGATCTACTGCCCATGGAAACATTGAGCAATCCACATCAGCATGAAAAACGTGGAACCAAAACATTGTAAAACCAAGCTCAAGCATTTGAAACTCGAGCAAGAAACGAGCTCGAGCCTAGCTCTAGCTTGTTCTCGGAGCAAGCCAACTCCAACAAGCCAGTGTTAAAAAAAAAACCTAAAAAACGTGAGGTGTTCACTATTCATTTACTGTTGTTTCACACTCAGTTTGCCTGTTCATCATTTTCTCTGCTTTGTTTTTTCGTTTAAGTTCTATACTGTACAAAAGCAATTGTTTTGTACCTTTTTTGTTTCAGCCGTCCGATCTAACTTAATTGCTTTGTTTATGCTAATTACCTTAGCTGGTAAAATCACTTGACAGGATACCAAATAACTAGGATACAAATCTCATTCACATGAGCAAGGCAACAGAGACATTTGGTCAATGGTATTGCCACCTACAGGCCACTTTTTATGTCTCAGATAATTTGTCCTACAATTTTGAACATTCTCATTTGAAGATGGGATACCATTTATGATTTAACGAGCTGATCTCAAGACACCTCATATTAACGCAGAACCTCATACAGGACTTTTCATCACACACGATTAAGCAACAAGTTCCCCAGGACAATTAAAACATGTACACTTACGACAAATAAAAAAAAATCGAACAGGTTAAAAACAAACAGCAAATGGCATTACTTTTCTTCAATGAAAGGATGATAGAGAATCTATATCATAGATAATCAATTAGAGATACATACAGTGGATTACCAAGATTAAGTAATCACAACAAAATTAAGTTGTATCCTCTTTAAATCCATTAGAGAAACAATTGAGAAGGTGGTCAGTGAACATTGGGATCTGATCGTTGGTGCTGGAAAAATTGTGGGGCAGCCTCTGTTAGCCAAGAAGGATCAATAGTCATGACATTCCTCATGTATTGTCGGTCTGTTGAGACAAGAGAGTGGTATATAACCCATTTTGGATTAACTCTGCAACAAGATAAAAAGTTTTCAGATATAAAATAAGACTTTGCATCTGTGCAAAACACAAGATGAAAACTCAACAGCAAAACAAAACCATGTGTCTAGATTCTACCATTAGATTATACAAAGCCATCATCAAAGTACATTCAAGGATCATTCCTAAGCACCAATAATCATAAATACTTTCAATAGGTAAACTTTTTCAGTGAACATCTAAACAAGGAATGCTGGTTGTTAGAGAAACATGCAATAAAATCATCAATCCCAAATAAAAAATAAGTGCCCTCAAGTCATAAATTAAATCCTGAACTTAAATTCTAAAGAAGGGAAATACCACTACTTAGTAATCTTAAAAACATCTCCAATTGGTTATTCAACATCTAAAAGCTTGAAAGTCACATTCATGCCTACCCTTATGCATATATGCAGCGAGGAAGAGAGGAGCAAGCCTACCGCTACATAGTACTATATCCTCACCCTATCAGATGAAGCAAAAGTTTCATCCAATGACAAATTTTAATTGAGAATGTCACTTGAATATGAATTGCAAGCATAATATTCATAAAACAGTTCATGGTTGAGAACAAACTGCATCACAAAACAAAGAATGCATTTCTTGTTTTGGTGCTTCTGCCATATTAGTACCCCGAGATCAACGCACCACTATCACTTGGGGAATAATAAACTACACCACAAAAACCCCTGATGAAATTCACTAAATATTTAAATATCAAACTCAAGCCTACTAACCTGAACAACACGGACGAAGGATGAATATAAACTTCTTGAGAACGTCGAACAGTCTTGTACATTCCGTTATCACTGAATGCCTTTCAATAAAATATAATGATAACTCTTATCAGGACATTAGGCTAAAAAAGAATACGATTCACTGTTTTTAAGCATTAAAATTCCTACTAGAATGGAGAAAGATGATAACACATCCATATTCCATAATTCTGGTTGCGGCAGTAAACATGGAAAATTAAGTTACTCACTTCTAGACGACTTGCATTTGCAAAAAATCCAGCAGTAACTGCTTTCCGTACTGCCTACAAGATCATTTAGAGAAAAAAGGTGAGCAGTGGAGGACAGTTAAAATCAGACCTTTATGTCGATGCACATATACAAACAAAGGATTAATGATCCGTAACATCCCTGTACTACAAGCAATTGATTAATTAAGTCCCTCCACCAACTTAAATGTTAATTAGATCTCCATATTGAATCAATTTGTTTAATGAGGACCCTCTGTTTGTGACATTATTGATGGCATTAAGTAAATTACATAATCAAGCGACTCGTCCTTTGACCTTGTTGACCTTGTTAGTTAGTTTGCCTTCCCATTTTTTTTACTACAGAAAGTGTTTATTGAAAAAAAAAAAAAAACAAAACAAAACAAAACAAAAGAAGCTAATTTAAATAAATGTTTTCTGTAATTAAAAATGGTGATGAATCTTTAATCTTGTTTTCAAATTCTTTTTCTAATTTCAATACATGCTTTCTGTAATAAAAAATGAGAAGAATAAATAACTAATGGAGTCAACAAGGTCAAAGGACAGATGTCGCTTGATTATGCAATTTACTTAACGCTGTCAATGACATCAGTCACAGAGGCCCACTTTAAACAAATTGATTCAATTCAGGGACCCAATTAACACTTAAGTTGTTAGAGGAAGCTGATTAATCAATTGATTGTAGTATAGGGACTGTGCAGATCGTTAACCCTACAAACAAATAATGTTTCCAACAGTCAAATTATGTTTATAGAATAGGAAAAACCAAAAGATCCTAGGAGTCACTTATGAAAGTCTATTCCCGTCAACAAGGCAAAAATAAGACAAAAGTATTTACTGTTTCATATTTTAATTTTATTACGAAATTCCCACCTCTTTTTATTTGACCACGTCCTTAGCATGGGACAAAAGGTAAGAAAATATATGAACCAGAAAGTTATCTCAGACCACTTAAAGAAATCTACCAAGTAAATGTATATACCCAAGAATCAATCAGTCGCAAACACCTACCAGCATGTCTCCTTCACAGGATTTGAAGACTATGCCTAATCTCAGTGCTGTTCTTCTGAGCTGTTCTCTAATTTCAATTACCTTCTTCTGCAGAACAAAATGAATTTGTTTCAACACCTAATATATATGAATTGCACCAGCTAAAATATCTGGGATGAATAAACTGAATGACAGCAGATTTCATTGATAAAAGCCAACAAAAAGCAGATTGAAAATTTAACCATATGTAAAGTTTACAGACAGTAAGAACAGATGCATACCATAGCTTGGTAATTCATGAAATTCTTGTGACACCATTGTGATGATTTACCAGATTTAAGAAAACCTTTATAAACATTAAGGAACGTAACGTGGTCACCCTGCAAGGTATTAAAAAAAATGAAAAAAGAATATAACATTAAAATTGTTGAGATAAGAAGAATAACATATTTAAGTAAACAAATAAAATATAGGACAAAAGAAATTAAATGGCGCAGTTAATGAGGCCAATAGAGAATAAAACTAGATGATTCCTCAGCATACACGTAAAAGTACTAGAAATAAGGTTGTAAAATTAAAGACACATAAGTTTCATTTTACATAAATTTACTTAAAATAAGTGAGCATCAACCCAAATATCAAAATTAGGAGAATATATTCCAACTATTAGTTAAATTCGAGTATGAACAATAAAAAAAAATATGGAAGAAGAATTTATAGCTCCATGCAAGATGAAGCAAGATATCAGAAATTGTAGGATGAATAAACCAGTTATGAGAAGAAAACTAGGAAGGATAACTAGTTTCAAAATATTCCAGGCAAGGCTTGGAACAAGATTCGTCCAGACACAGTTGCTCAATTGACAGGACTACAAGAGGTATAAACAAGATCAAGGGTATCTTATTACAAATTCATACAATCAAGAAATAAACTTCAATGCAAAGAACACAAACTAGATCTGTTCTCCGTTCATAAAGAAAATCAAAAGAATGGTAGACAAAAGCAAATACCTCAGCAGCTGCAAATCTCAGCTTGGCTTCATCTAATTCCTTCTGCACCCCCCTACCAGAAATCCAAATAGACTGCAATAAGACACACGAAGCATTAACTAACCTCCAAGGGAACATTTCCTTTATGCACTCATATTATTTGTATAATTCCTGTAAATAGATCCTTCCTTTTAAATTTCTCATTTATAGGGTACTTTCTTATGGCTTTCTTAGAATTTTCCACTACCAACTACTTATCTGAGGCAACAAAAGTAAAAAGAAAATATCTTGAATATAAGAACCAAAAAAAAAAAAAAAAAAAGCTTTACCTGTATGGAAAGAATAGCAGCGATTGTGATGATCTCCTCAGAGCATCCCAGTTGGTTTGAAGATAGTATCATTTTTGAGATCATTGGGTCCTGCAAAATTTAACATGGATTGATGTTCTTGTCTTGTAAATTCAAAAAAAGAAAACATACGCTAGCCATAAATGCAACAGAAAACACCTCATGCTAACCAGCAACACTCATTTAGAACAACACATTTAAAGTAAATATGCAAAATAACTAAAAACAAATCAAGCAAAAGCATCTGCCTGAGCTGATAACCAATAAGGTCTCTCTGAACTAACAATACTACTCTCACTACATTTACTCATTTTGTCATCCATTGGACATATAAGCTAAAAGATATTTTCAGAACATGTATTTCACTCCAAAACGAAATTCATAATTATTCCTAGCAGATGGGAAAATGATGTGGATAATTAAACGATCCGGCAATAAAAAGCCAAATATCTCTACAATAGCCAGGAGGCAACATACTAATGGAATCTCTGCTACTTGAAACCCAACAGGTGAAGTAAGCTTAGCATCATCATCAAGGACTCCCAGTGAATAAAGAACTTCAAGTGCTCGAATCATTGCTTCAGGAGGTGGAGATGCTGGCCAATCAAAGCCTAATATATTTTCTATGCCCAAGGCTTTTAACTGAGACATCAGAATAAAATAACGATTAAAGTCTAAAATACAAATCTTCCAATGAAAGAATTTATGTATACCTAGACACATTGATTCTTGGAATTTGAAGATTATTTGGTCAATATTATGAAAGTAATAGCAACACCGACAACAACTTCTTTGTAGAATAGCTTTGTACAAAAGGAGGCATATGTACACCATTGAAACCAAAACAAGGGGTACCTGAATCACAGCAGAAACAAGTTTTGACCTTTGAATCTCTGGGATCCCAACAGAAGACATTTCATTGACAAAGTACTCTTCAGTGTATAACCTGGTTGCAGACACCAGAATATGCTATTATACACTATCATATGTGAAAAAGAAAAAGAAAATAATCTAAATCAACCCACAAAGCTATAAAATCTATAATTTACATGAAAAAACATGGGGATTGGGCAAAATGTATAAGAAATCAAGTTTATAAAAATAAGGCAGGAGGGTTTCTCAGCAGGAGTTTAAAGACTTCGAATAAACAAATTCATGACCTAGGATGTTAGATGGCTAAAATAAGACCTAGACATCTGTAGCATATATGAGCAGTTAAAAGAAAATCATATTGGAGCTTAATCTGTCCTTTAAGTATTAAGTCACCAGAAAGAGCATATTTGTATTACTGCAGAAAGTCCTATGAAACAAATGCTTGGTTCCTACAGAAGAGTCCTTGCATGATTCGTCCTGCAATAGCTAATTACTAATTTAGAAAAAGAATGTTAGAAAAAGGTATTCCCACACCCTAGGTAAAGGGTAGTAGAAGTTATATTCTATAGTTAGAAACCTCAGTAAACAACAAATTACAAACTCCATGTGATGCCCTCAACTTTCTAAGTAATAAAATACAACATGCTTAAGCATCAAATAATAAGATAAAGAAGATTAAAATTTGACAAGTTCACCCAAATTTTTCTTAAAAAAGAAAGAAAAAACTCATGTAAATTAATCATCTGTAGTAAGTTAAGACACCTGTAACACTTCCCAGGTCGAACTCTTCCAGCTCTACCAGCCCTTTGTCTGGCAGAAGCCTTTGATATGGGGGCAACCACCAGATTTTCAATATCTGAGATCTGCAGCATAGAAAATAAAAGCGATTAACTAAGAGAAACAGATATGCATATTAACAAAAAAATAACGAGTTTATCTTCTTGAAACAATATAAAATAAGTCATCACGGATACAGCATTCTAATAGGTCATAGAACAAAGAGAATCTACCCAACTCTGAAAAGTTCTTGACCCCTTACCCTAAGAGTCCCTTATGTCCGTAACTATGCAGGTTTACATAGCTGATAAAAAATAAAAATAAAAATAAACTAAGGCTAAAAAATAAAGTAAAATAAAATGATGACAAAACAGGTAACAGAGAAAGGAAGAAACTCTCAGAAATTATTTATCATTCACATTGAGCAAATAATTGAAGAAACTCTCAACAATAATTTATCATTTACATTTCTATATAATTTAATCAATTATTTGCTCCATGTTAGTCAATATTGAACATCCATAAATTAATCGAAAACTTCAACAAACTAGGGCTCAGTAAACATGAAAACATCAGGAGAAAGCACCAAGCAAATAAAATAGACATTCAATTAGAGAAGTTGCATTTTTTTGTAGCAGAGTGAACTTTGCTATCACATTTTTAACACCTGAATACCCATAAGAATTATCACATACTTATGAGACAGGATTGTGAATTCAGTAAAAGCAACCATGCAGCACACAAATCCTACCCATTGTTGATTTAAACAGAAATAAAACCATGATGAAAACTACCGGATTGTAGAACTGCTGTTTTGAGAATCCACTATCAACAACATAAACAACGCCCTGAGGGAATAAAAGAGCAAGGTTAGATGGTGATTCTCTGCTGGTACCACAAAATAATCACATCTTGTATTTTAGAATGTGAACATGTTACCTCCAATGTCAATGATGTCTCTGCTACATTAGTTGATATCACCACTTTCCTCTTCCCTCTAGGAGTTGGGGAAAACACCAGATCCTATTAAAGGGGACAAAAAAGCATGTTCCATAATTCAGAAACAAGATAACTAAACCGCAACAAAATAAAATTAAATAATTCTGGTTACCACAGACAATATATCACCAACCTGTTCTGCACGCGGGAGACCGGAGTACAAAGGCAAAACAATCAATCCTGAAAAATATGAAGATTTTAATCTTATAAAAATGTCTATAAAATCCATTCCTACAAAATAAACACTGTAAAACAAAAATGCCATTCTACCATTCATTACATTGAACTCAGTCCTTAGCCTGTAGTCTTGGAACATAAAGTCACAATAAGCAATTCAACAGAGTCCTAATCTAAATACAAATTAGTTGTGCTCCTTTATTTAATCCAAATATAGTATTTTACGCCACATAAAACGAAGTCAGTATCTGAATACAGAACCACTAACAGAGATAACAAAGCTAGAAGCATGCTGGCGCAATATTTTCTGTGGTTACGACCATGTCATCATATTTTTCTGTGGACCATGTGTATCCAAGTTTGTATATTTTTAAATATTTCAGGGAAGACAGCAGATGCAATCACGTCAGAGTTTCACATTTATCAATAATTTTCTATTCACAACCACTCATAGATGACTATCTGCAAATAGCAACAAGTCAAAAACTTATGCTGCGTTATGTACCTGAAGATATCTTTCTACTGGCTTGAGCTTCTTCAGTAAGCAACCGAACAGCAGCATCGATATCATCTTGACCAGTAAGAAATACAAGAATGTCACCTGCAGGTTCCTAGAAAACAAATATGCATCAAAATTGTTAGAGCAGCACAATATTTTCATTATTCATTTAGGCTTAGGCTTTTTACATCAACACCATCAAAAAAAAAAAATTAAATAAATAAATAAATAAAATTAAGATGAATTTGCAAAAGGATGAGAACAATAAGAGGATAAGGTAGAGTTGCAGCCCTTTATAAGTTTTATTTGTGACTTTTCAAAGAATCCTAGATCAAGAAGTATCAAGTAAGCACTCCACTATCCAGGGTGCAACTTCACTGATGTATGAGAAGTGAATATAGAACAAACCAATGCTTTGCAAGGAATATCTCTTCGTCAACCTAGATTTCTAATAGTGGTTTAGGGCATTGAGTTGTCTTAGCCATAGCCAAAGGTGCCTGGCACTGCATAAATGTCAATACATGGAAGGAAGGAAGCTTCAAATATTGATACAATTTATCAAAACTGAGCTTTTGTCATAAATCTAATTGCTATTAACATACTTGAAGCAGTGTATAGCATTCAATAATAACTGTATGCCCATGACAGCCAACGTCCCACCACCCAACTTCTCTCAGTTTACCAAGTTTTGTAAGCTTGTTCACAACAAATTTCTAGTTGCTTTCAAGAACAATGAGAATTTATACCTGCTATATACTTCATTACAAGATTTTTCTTCTTATTTTTGGTTTGAATGACAGGTTTTGCCAAGCTATAATAAGTTTAGACCCACCCTAAATCAGCTGTCATACAATACATAGAATCCCTCAGGTACATCCACTCTTCATTCTAATCAGTCAAGAGTCTTAGTAAGCAAAACTCAAGACTCGGTTGATTACAGATATTTAATCAGATCTGAGATTCTTTAATTGTAAAATTCCAAAATGTGCCACAAGAGTTGATGTCTGATTAAGGTCTGTTAACCAAACGAGTGCAAACGTCTCAAGATACAACAAAGAAGTTTTTATAACCAAAAGGAAAATCAACTTGGAAACTTCACTATATTAGAAGCCTCAAATCACCTGATCATGAATCGACAATACAGTTGAAACAACAGCCTGAACATAGTCCGGGACAGGCTCCACGACAAAATGTACTAGTACATTAAAACCTCTTCCCTGAACAGTTACAGATAAAATGAGACTGTAAGATTATCATATCCACTCAAACATAAAACCTCAATGAATAGCTTCAAGTGAGTAAGCAAAGATGGCCTTCCAGGCAAAAAATTGGTGTGCACTACAACCATACCTCAACAGATAAAATTGCAGGATCCTTCCTTGGAACAAACTCATGATCTTCCAGTCCTCGATGCTTTTTGCTAGTTTACAGGAAATAACACAAGTGAGTTGACAGTCAACCTCAGTTACCTTTTTCTTTGAATAGAAATGCTTATAGCTGTTAAAAATTGTTGGCAAGCACAGGTAAGTTGAAATGAATTTTTGCCCCCAACAAATTCTACTTGCTAAGGCCATAAATGAAGAACCAGAGGGATCTCGATTTTGCAGCCTAACTATGAAACATTGCACCTTAGTTGTTTCTCTGAAAAGTATGAACTTTTCAAACTTAAGCTAGATTATCAAATAAAATTTGTATGTGGAAGATTTCAATGTAAAAAATTTTGAACCCAAGATGCAATGCATTATTGTCAGGTTAACGATGCAAATAGAACTTTTGCAAGTCCCTTCATTCAAGCTTCCATAAGAATGATATCCTGAATCACTAGCATGGCAACAAGAGAGAACATAATCCCACTTTACTCGAGCACTGACAAGCATACCTAGGTTGGAAGAAATCTGACATAGATTTTGCTTCAATTGTAGCAGATGAGATAATCAGGCGTAGTTCAGGTCGACGGCGCTGGATCTGGAATCCCAAAAGTTGTCAAAATTGAAAGGAAATAAATCCACCAAACCTGGAAATTTAGTTTCTCAAACAAGTGACAGCAAGACCTGGTCACCAAACTTTACCTTTTTCAGGAGACCCAGCAGAATGTCAGTTGAAATAGACCTTTCATGAGCCTCATCTACCATGATGACACTGAGATATAACATTTTCTAAAAGGTAAGAAAAAGTGGCACCAATCAGGAAAACAAACGAAACAAGATTGTAGCCTAAAACAAGGCTATAATCTACTTATCACAAAATAACTCTAAATCTATTACGAAACTTGAAAATATTTTTTTTAAAAGAAAAAAGAAGAACATGGACAAGACGCTTCATTGGGGTCACTGCCCAGTTCAAAGCAAAAACTATCAGGCTTCACAAAAGTGCAGATGTTCAAGCAAAACAGCAACCACACCATGAAAAATGCAGAAGAGAAGAACCATTTCCAGTTTCTGAAGAATTCCCAAATTGTTCCTCCCAAAAGAATCACCTGAGTAGCTACTGACTATTTACAAATAGACTCCTTCTTACAGGACCACTAGCTACGCCTGAATGCAAATCAATGGGTCTTTTACAAGTACTTTAATTACAAAACTTGGCATTGTGTTGGCAACAATGATAATACACATGAACTCCATTGGCTGCTTGATTAAAAAATGCAAGACAATATTTAAATGAAGAAATATGGTACACTAAAAATTATTGGGAAACACAACAAATATTTCTAGAGTCAAGGCCATAGCTAATACCTATACTTGGTCAAAAGCGGATCGTCCATCATTTCTTTTAGTAATACCCCATCTGTTAGAAACTTTATCATAGTTGCAGCCTGCACTGCCAAAAGAATAAAACTTTTGAGAACTAAAACACAATTATAACCACAATAGCAAAAATGCATATAAAGTCTAATCTTTACGCACCAGAAACCAACAAACCACCAAATACAAATCAACACGCATAATGAGACCAATGGACCTCATGATACAAAGCAAAAAGAAAACAAGATAAAACTAGAGATTGTACGGGAAACAAATCAACAAGCTGCCTTACTGGATTGGTAACATCCTCGAATCGAATTGTGTAGCCAACTTCCTCTCCAAGCTTCACACCCATCTCTTCAGCCACCCTTGAAGCAACTGCCTGGCCATTAGACCACCATTTAAGCCTTTTAACAGACGTATTTTGATACACAAGCAACCATACAAACTATTCTAAATCGGACGACATAAGACAAAATATTGAAAGATATATATATATATATAGCACTTTAACATTATTTTTTTCCCAAATGCATATACATATAGGAAGAAGAAGGGATTCAAGCTTAGAAACCATACCTGGACTGCGAGTCGTCTCGGTTGGGTGCAAGCAATAACACGTCCACCATCAGCCCAACCAGCCTCTTTAAGATACTGAAATGTAATCAATCCATCCAAACACCAGTCAAAATCCAAATACATAAAAAATATTTCCAAAATTGAAGGCAAATAATCAATAATTTTATTAATAAACCTGAGGGATTTGCGTGGTTTTGCCGCTACCGGTCTCGCCAACGACAATAGTAGTGGCGTGAGTTTCGACCAGGTACAGAATTGCAGTTCTGTACTTGTACACAGGTAATCTCTGCCTCTGATTCTCAATACTTGCATATCCAAACCTGGAGGAAGAGGAGGAGGAGGAGAGGGAGGGGGAAGAAAACGACGCCGCCTTCTTCGTCTTCGAGGATGCGGGGTTTCTCGGTGCCTGGTTTCCAGAATTGTGACATTGTGTTTTGATTTTTGGAATTTGATTTTCGCTTTGCTTTGCTCACTAGGCACTAGCTATGAACTACAGCGGGGGTTTTGGGCTTCAATTTTGTGCTTTTAGGGTCGGGTTACGTACATGGATAACCAGGATGTGGGTTATTAAATTTAGTTGGTCCCTCTTTTTTTACATTTTTATAATCCAGTACCTCATCTTTGTATTGGTATAGCTCTCTTAATTTTATGCCTCTCTTCTTAATTTTTCAATCCTCAAACCAAATCCAGAAAAAAACTGAGAACCGGAAAATCCATGAGACCACATGACATGACTAACACTGGAGATATTTTATTTTTAAAATTTATGTTTTTGAAAAAAAAATGTTAATCTCCATTTTTTATTGTCTTAACCATTAAGATTAAAATTTCTAATCATCATGTGCAAAACAATAGTCGCAAACCATGCATCTCGCATGCTCATAACTTATCGTTCCAATCAGTCCATCATTAGTAGTGTCTATTGATGATATGATGTTACTAACATTAAAGGATTGATCTAATAGAACAAAATTTATTAAATTTCTCTCAATTCTTTAGACCAATGTGGGTTGGGAGTACATCCTTAAAATCACATTTGAATGCATCATACGGATGTGAGAGATGTCTTTTTAAGATCATTCAAAAAAGAGATTTAGTTTCAATTCACAAGCTAACAGGTCTGAAAATACCTCATACTGTCATATAAAAAAAGAATTGTGATGCTATTGGTAATGTATTCTAATAATCAAAAAGTAAAAAATCATATAAATGATCAATATTTAAATATACTATATAGTAGTTTTCTTTAACTTCTAATAGATTGGTTAGAATTATTTACATGAATAAATTTGAATGCTTATTAAATAAATATGTTCGATTTTCAAATCAATTTATATAAATTTGATAGTTATAATTTAATTTTTTTAATTTTTGAACCATGTAAAATATTTTCTAATTGGACCTAAATAAAAATTAAGGAAATAAATTGAATTGTCATTTAAAATAATTAATGGTTACCATAAATATATATTACTCTAATAATTACCAAAAAAAACCACGGTATATTATAATGAAAATTTTTTATTTTAAACAATTCTTTTCAATTATATGGGAAATGAATATAAATTAAAAATACATACATGAATAAAAAATTTATAAATCATTTTTTCAGTAAATATTGTCTTTAGTATTATCACTATTTGTTCGAAGTGGTTTCAAATTAATAAATTGATGAATTTTGATGTAATTTAATTATTTTAGATTTTAATATTTTATTTTTCTTATTGGTTTGTTTTCACTACACTCTCTTCTCTATTTCATAGTCTCAAAATAAGGTTTTTCTTAAGCAAATTAAACAAAAGAAAAGCCTTAAAATTGAATAAAAACACAAGATAAATTGAAAATGAACAAAAAGAACAACATTAAATCTAGTATTCTAAACACTATATATATTTAGGATTATTTTGCTATTCAATTCTATAATCATTACATTTAGATCATATATTTTAACCATTCGATCCAACTGTCCTTAATTGTTAATAAACATCCATTTGCACCATAAAAACTTGTTGAGATGGAAATAATTAGTCATGTGGCACATAAATTTTACTAAGATGCTTAGATCCAATTAAAAAAAAAAAAACACTTGATGTGAAACCCACAGAAAAGTCACGTTATGAGAAATCAAAATCTCTGATTTAAGGAAAAATACAAAGAGAAGAACCCTTAAATCTATGATTTGGGAGTACTTTTGTAAGAGACTAATGTTTTATGGGTCTCCCATGAAGTTTATTTAAACTTTTTTTTTTATTGTTTACATTTTTCAAAATGTGGTTTGGCATCTCAATAAAAACAATATGTACTGCATGGCGAATATTGATATTTTCCATGTCAATAAACTTTCGCAAAGGAAATGGATGTTTGTTTACAATTAAGAGTATTTGGATTAAATTGTCTAATTATAACAAACTCGGGATTAAATTCATAAAACTATTTATATAAAGCTCAATTTGTCAATTTGATACAAATACATGATTTTAAAACAAGGTTATCCTGTTTGTTTATCATGCTACAATTAATGGAGGTTTTTCCAAAGTTTTGATGATTAATTTGGCCAGAAAAAAAATAGCATGAGGAAGTTGTTTTTAAAACAGATAAGGGTTATCGGGTGGATTATTAGAAGGAAAAAAAATACCGACAGTTCATTTCTCTTGTACTATTTCCTTCCTTTCTATCTGTCAATAAAATACAATCTCTGATAAGGAGGGAAACAATTTGATCACTCCTATAAAATTAAATGAAATATCCTTCGATGTGCAACTTTGACAGTCATTACTTGTAATTAATATTAATAAACTTGAGGTGGAGGTGGGGATGGATCGCAGATAAAAAAACAAGTGCAACCACCAGAGACACAGTATCCATGAGATCCTCCTCGTATTTTAGGATCTCCACCATATTTTTTATCACATAAGTCTGTGCATTTTTGCTCTCTGCAATCTGCCATTGCTTCTCCCTTCACGCAAATACGTGCTGCCATTACTTCACTGCCTGTAATAATTAATTTTAGATTAATTAATTATCTTCTACTATTTTCCTTTCATTGTATGAGAAGAAATGATACAGTTAATGAAATGCAAACAAATCATACATACATACAAATACACATACAGATAGATATGTGTTTGTGTTTGTGATTTTGCAAGGTCTTTGATTTTTTAAATATCGTGCCTGGGATTATTATAAAGATCTGTTAATTCAATTTTGGCTTTGTATTCTCATAATTTTTTACTGATGGAACATTGCATCCCAAACATTACGAATGATAAATGAATTGCCTAACCAGAAGGAGATACATAAAGTTATGAATGTTTTACCTTGGAAGAAGAAGAGAACAAGAATAACAGCAACAAAAATATTATGAAAGTTCTTCATTTTTTCTGTGTTTCAAAGAAGAAAATATGAAAGATTATATATAAGATTTGATGCTTGTTTGAAACATATTTATAGTACTTTTTCTATCTTCAATAGATTAGCTGTCTTTCTATTTATAGTTGTCTTAAAATGTTAAGTAGTGTATTTTTCTAAAATAAGGCTAATTAAAATCTATTTTGATGACTAGCAATTCTAAAAAAAATGAGTATTTTAGACCATTAGAAATAAAAAATTATGATATGGAATAACAATTAATAATTTTTTAATCTATATGAAAAGTAAAAAAGTACAATGTCTTTGGAGGAAAAACTATTATTTTATAATGTATTTACATTATTTATTTTAAGATTCTTTCCCATTATTATTCAAACTGGGAATCATAATGAAATTACTTACCAAATAATATTGTTAAGTTAGAAAATATGGAATAAATAATTCAATCTCATTGGCATATTAGTCACATGTCTTTAATTATTTTTAAAAGGAAAGTAAATAATAATGAGATCATGTTTTTCTATCTCTTATTCGTTAAAATAAACTATTGAATTCGAATGAAATGTACATTATTCAAATTTAGTTCATAACAAAAATAGCTACAATTTTAGTTCCATATTTTTTCTTCTCTCCATAATTTAACACATTTGATTCAAAATTGATGGTGAGATATGGAACATGATATGTCATGTCCTTCTAGAAACATATATAAGACTATTCAAATCTAAATTTGGCTAATTTGCCTCAGGCACGAGTTTTATTTTTATTTTTATTTTTTCTTTACAAAATTGACAATATAAGACAACGTCTTACAATTATAGCTTCCAACTATCACCATCGTAACAATTTAGTCCCCTAACAATATACTACTTATACAAACTCGTGAAATTTTTATACACAAACTAGAATCTCATGTTGGCCCACGAAAAATTAACAAATATAGTTAGCATTGCTTAAAAACTAAAACTAAGGGATTAAATTGTTATGGAAATGATAGTAAAAGGATATACTGCCAATTTATAGTTTAGAAATTTATTTGAAACCAATTATTAGTTTGAGATTAATTTTTGTCGCTAACCGACTTCGGACGGGACTCCCTCAAAAAAATTTAAGAGTTAATTGGTATTTACAAGTTTCGGAGTCGTCACTTATTATTGAAGGAACTAGGAACCTAAAATAGGCACTAGTTCACGGATTCTACGATAAGGAGTTGGTTACACTTTTGGTAAGATATTTAATCATCAAAAAGTGTCATTTTCGAAAAAAGGTACCATGTGTGGTTCAATTCTAAATTCATCTCCTAAAATATCAAATTATTTTCTAATTTTCAAACTCCTATTTTTTTTAAAGTTAAAAAACAATTTTTAGTTTGGGCGTGACATCGTATTGAAACGATTGTCAAACGACACGTCGGTTCAAATATCGGATCCACTAAAAGCATTGACACAACCAGCGTGTCGGAGGACATTCCGATTAAAAGATGACTATTGGTGACGTCAATCCCTATCGGATAGGAGACTTCGTCGAAAATTTTAGATATTTTTTTGATGACGTCAATCCCTATTAGATAGGATACTTCGTCGAAATTATTTTATTATTATTATTTTTTATATATATGTTTTCTTTATGACGTCGATCCTTACCAAGTAAGAGACTTTGCTAAAATTTTTAGATATATTTTTTTGGTGACGTTAGTCCCTATTAGATAAGAGACTTTGTTAAAAAAATTTATAATTTAATCTAACAACACATAAAAAAGAAAAAAAGGACATTGAAGTAACAATTAATATAAGAAAAAGTGTCAAGTAATAAAATAAACAAGCTAAAAAAATAAAAAATAAATAAATAAAATAAATAAATAAAAGATAGATAGATAGATAAATAAATAAAATAAAAAAAGAAATCATCCTAGACCTAATCCCATAACTTATTTCTTTCCTACCCGTTCCCTTTTTCTTTCTTATTTTTTCCTATTTATTTATTTATTTTTTGTTGGGAAGAGACTGGACTTCTAGCCTCTCTTGCATTTTGCTTCTTTTTTTTTTTTTTTTTGGTGCAA